AACGAGTTCAGGCGACAACGGTTAACCCGACTATCAGAACCACCAACGTTTTCGTCCCTCCGAAAACAACCGCTGTGCCAACGGCCAGGTGTGGTCACCGCTGCCGTCCCTTCGGAGACTACTGCGTCAACTCCAACACGGCGATGATGTCCCTTAGCTTCCAGGACCAGTATACCACAACTTTCGCAGGTATCTACAAAGGTTTCCACTTTTTAGCTCGTGGTGCACGCTATCGAGTAGACGTCATCGAGGATCCCAATCGAGTAGTGGTCTCCGTCGACGCTATCAACTCTGAGCTTCGTGGCGAGTTACGTAAACTCAACTGGCTGGGCGTCACTCATCTCTACTTCACCTTTGATCCCGAACGCAACGTGGTGATGCTGGAGAGACACGGTTTGATCGCTCACATGCACATCAGCCTCGGCTGTGCTGCCGCAATCGAGACTCCTCCGAAGGAGCCAAGTGTTGATCAGGAAGATGCCCTCGGAGGGGACAAAGAGGTCGATGATTTCCTCTTCGAGCTCATCAAGCTCCTCCTCAGCTAAAATAGGCCCCAGGGGACTCGTCACCATGATGCTCCAGCAGTAGCTGCAAGCTGAAGATCATTTGTGTCTCTTGTATAAGGTATATGTCATCTCTTCTATCATTTGTATGTGTCATCTTCAATGATGGGTTCTATCACCTCTATTTTCAACATCTATTGTCATTAGGGTTCATCGTGTCGGATGTTATTGAGTTATGGAGTTCAATTCTACTCTCAAATATCCTTCGGATCTTGAGGAGGGAATTGTGAGTGGGAGAAGAACGTTCGGGTACAGGCGGCGACGAATGAGTGAGATTCTCACTGTGAGAAGAGTAGTCCGGAGATTCTCCGGCGGAGAATGAGTCCGCTCTTTAGGTTGAGAAGCTTGTAGAGGATGATTTGTGGTGCTGCATGATGCTCCAGGCACACACTCCTCTTCGGCTTGTGAAGGATTCGTAGGGATGGAGATCGCAATCCGCAAGATACACACCATGATCGAACAGACTCGAATTGAGAATTAAGGAGCGCAGTGAGAAGTTTATGCAACTAGCACGACCGCTTTTTCGACCCTTATATATCACTTTAGCCATATATCTGGCTCGAAGTATATACAATGGTCTTCTGCTAGGCCGCAGCCGGGAGGTAAATGCTAGTGACGACCTTTTCGCTGCATCATGCCTCCTACTTCGCCCGCTGCCCGCATCCCTCGGACAAAGTTGATTTTCATGTATTGCGTCGACCTCCATGGTCACTGACAAAGATAAACGTCTTCGGTCGGGAAAATGTCAATTAGCATTGTGACAGCCTCATCGGATTCCTTACGTTCGCGCCGAAGGCAAACTCCGGGCAAGTGAACATTGTACTGGGGCAAGGGCGCGGACAATTCTGCTCGAATGTTATGTCACAGGGACAAGACAGACGCAGGGGGCCTTAGAGAAAGTTATAGGGATCACTATCTCGTTGGGATCACCTGTTAAAATGATTGATATCAAAAATCTATTTCCGGCAACCCGGAATCGAACCAGGGACCATCCGATAACCAAAAATCTACAGTCGGACGCTCTACCAACTGAGCTAGGTCCGGGGGAAAAATGACTGCAAAAAAAGGGGGAAAAGAAAAGAAGGAAAAGGAGGAAGGAAAAGGGAAAAAAAGAAGGAAGAAAAAGAGAGAGGAAAGAAGGCGACCGTCGGTCGCGGGTAAGGTGCCGGCAGTTCAAAGAACGGCAGATTCAGGTATGTAGCATTGAGCCTAACGCACGCGTGCAAAATGCCTAAAACGGTTTCATCCGTGTACTCTCATGATGTCACGCTCGAGTTCGATAGTATGGACTAGTAACCTTGGTAATTAAGAGAGCTTCATGGCAGTATATCATATCCCGAATGCCCAAGGACGCCAAATCCGACGCCGAATGGCGCAAAACATTAACCAACTTCGCAGCCTCCAAGGCAAGGACTTTGCCTCGAGGGTGTGCTCCGCCGAAGACTTCTAAATGGTACGACGAGTTCCAGAAGATCCTCAAGTGTCCATTTGGGACTAGCCACCCCCTCAAACCTAAGGAAGTTCGTGGCTGTGAATGTGGTTACCACCCTACGGTCAAGGACGACACCAAAAGACCCGAGCCTTCGATCGACACCAAAGCGACGATTGGTGGTGCTGGTCCTGTCGCTAGTATCGCTGGGACCAATCTGGAGCGGGTAGTGTCCAAGGAGCTAAGTGCTGCTATGCCGAGGAAGCCTGAAGGTCTCACTGTAGCCGATGTTAGAGATGTGATAG